ACATGGAACCTAAGAGATTGAGGCTTAGTTAGCACTTGGATAGAGACCACCCACAATCCCATGTGTGTAGACTAGATCAGGAAGATGAAAAACTTCCCAGAAAAAGCAAAATTGCATAGGTTTTGACACTATCTCCCCAGCCTATCATTAAAAGTATTGTTGATACTCATTAGGCAAAAATGTGAAATAAAGGGATTAAGAATAAAAAAGAAGAATATAAAACACGGGCATTTGCAGATGACCTGGTTTTCATCACAGAGGACCCTTTAGAAACAGGAACAGTACTAATGCAAGAAATAGAGGAATTTGGTAAAGTGACAAGATTAAAAATAAATAAAGAGAAGACAAAGACAATAACTAAAAACCTTATACATAATCAGAAAGACAAATTGGAGGGGAAATTGGGAATTCAGATAGTTAAGAAAGTGAAGTATCTTGGAATTGGCTGACTGCAAAATGCGCCTCTATAAAGAAGACAACTATATTAAACTACTACAACAAATACATAAAGATTTGGAAAATTGGGCCAAATTACAGTTATTGTTAATTGGAAGAATCATGACAATAAAAAAGAAACATTTTACCCCAAATTTTATTTCTATTCCAAACAGTACCAATAAAATTAGGGTAATTGTTTTTTGCAGAACTAAACAAAACAATTTTAAAATTCATTTGGCAAGGGAAGAAAGCCTGAATAAAATTAAAACTTTTACAGGATAGTAGAAGCAAGGGAAGTTTTTGACTTCCAGATTGGGAACTCTATCACCAAGCTGCAGCCGTAACATGGCTTAAAGATTGGATAACACTTAAAAATAAAAGGATATTAACAATAGAAGGCCACAATTTACAACTTGGCTGGCATGCATTTATCTGGGAAGGGAAGAACAAATCCCAGGCATATTTCCAGAGATACCAGGTAAGAAATGCTCTGCTAGATGTTTGGGGGAGAATTAAGAGAAACTATTACACCAGAATCCCATCAACTATGGAAGCAATGATATATCCCAACATACTAGATTTAAATAAAGTAGTGACATATAAAGAGATATTGGATGTGCAAGGGAAACTTAAATCTAACCAAGACCTAAAATCCCAAGGAATAGAAATAGACTGGTGGCCATATCTACAAATCCAGATAAGGTACAAAAAAGACTTAGAACAATACAGCTTTGAAAGAGAACAAGAACTGGATAAAATATTGGGGACAGAAGAAAAAATGATACCTAAAGCATACAACTGTTTCTTAAAATTTAAAATGGAAGAGAAAACAGTGAAAGAGACTGTGATAATTTGGGCCAAAAAATTTGGATATAACATTGAATTGGAACACTGAGAACAATAATAAGAGAAAAGTTATAAATTAACGATATCGGCAGCCTATAAGGAAAGCATGTACAAAATGTTTTATCATTGGCATTTACCCCCAGCAAGATTGCCCAAAATGTTTCCTAATAAGTCGGCAAATGGAGATGCAATCATGAACAAGGGGGATATTCTACCATATGTGGTGGACCTGCCCAAAAACTAAGAAATATTGGATGAAAATTAAAAAATGGTTAGAAGAAATTATGAAACAAAAAATAGAGATCAAACCAGAACTGTTTCTTCTGGGGATTATAAAGGGAAACCTAAGCAAAGAAATTCAATATATTATACTCCATCTAATAACCGCAGCAGAATTACTTTTGCTCAGAATTGGAAACAAGAAAACATTTCTTCGAATGCAATGATAATAAAAAAGATGCTCAACTGTGCAGAAATGGATAAATTAACCATGGAATTAAAAGATAGGGAGGAAACAGAATACTATAAGATCTGTAATAGGTGGTACAAACTAGAAACTAGATAAAATTAATACATAAAGAGTACCTAGGAACAATAGTAAAGTGAAAAACTGTATATACTTGTAAACATAGCAAATAACGCTAAACATTAAAGTGTGTGTGTGTGTGTGTGTGTGTGTGTGTGTGTGTGTGTGTGTGTGTGTGTGTAACATATAAGACCATGAAACTGAAAAACTTGTAAATAGAATGGATACCAGTATCGGAATGCTGTAAAGATTGGAAATGCTATTTTAAAGTTTTAAAAGGTTGAATAAAAATTATATTTTAAAAAAAGGAAGTAATTTGGCCAATAATGTTTACATTGATTTTATTGTTAAAAGATTCTATTGATATTTTGTTGTGAATTTAAGGCAAAGAAGGGACACAAATATTATAAAATAAATAAAATTCTAATAATTACTTCATTTAATGAGTTATGAACCACAATAGGCAAAAAACTATTAAGCATTGCATCTTGTTCTAAACCAAGTTGCTTAATAAATGAGTTAGCCGTGACAATTTAGCTATTTCTTCATTGTGTTCCAATAAATGATCATACATTTTTAGGTGTTTTGTAAGATTATCCAAAGATTATCCAAAAATGGGGACACCAATAGGAGTTAACATCTTAGCGTGTTATTGTTTAGAGTAATGTTGATGAGGAATTATTCAAAGCTTTCTTGTTCCTTCAGCAAAGAAAAGAGAGGAAGACCACATTTAATGTTGGTCTTTCTGCATTATTGCAATCCCTGCAACATTTGTGAGATTTTAAGGATACTAAAAACATTTTTCCAGTCTCACATAGACATTCTGAGGATTACATTAAGTCATAATTACAATAATATAACATTCATCATTGTTAAGGGACTAAAAATAGCCCCAGGAAACATTACTTCTGGTCTAGAGATGTGATTACACTAATCACTATTTCTTTGTAATTTTCAAGGAAGGAAATATGTGGTTACTGTGTTGCCTACAATAACCTACAAGGCTGTAGATGTATACATATGCTGATGATTTGATGTGAGATATTTAATAGAAATATTATTTCTATGTATTCTAGTTTTGCTGGATAGCTCAAGTACTGTAGAAACTAGTGCAGCAATAGTTAATTCATTAAAAATTGATTGTCTCATTGTACTCATTCCTTTTCTATCATGCTTACAATACAACAACAACAACAACAACAACAATAATAATAATAAGTATTCAGCACCGATATTTCAATGCAGTTTGGCATGGAAAAATGCGCCACTGTATCCATAAAAAG